TCATCCGGAACGATTCACCTACATTTGTAGTCAAGGGGAGACTTGTAACCATAGCTTCGGTCCCCCATTCGATCCACCTGAGTTTGACTTGGCGTTCGCTCGGTTCGTCCATGCTTCTGGTTCCTGGAAGTTATGTCTCCCTCTTACTAATTTTTTTAAGAGGTGGCAACAGCCGTTTTACTAGTAGAACTTTCTTAAATGTTCAACGTTCCAGATGCTTATCGAACGACCTTCTGTCGTTCTATGGCCGAACGTTCCTGTAGCGTATTTCTTCCAAACTTGGCACGGGCCTTCCCAGTTCTTTGCTAACTTTCCGCTCTCGAGCGGCTTACTTTTCTCCCTTTTTCTAAGGACAAGATCTCCTACTTCTAGCGATCGGATCTTGACCTGCTTGTCAAAGTACCTCCGAGTTGCTCGTTGATATTCCTCCATTCTTCTTATGGCCAGATCCCTCCTTTCTTCAATGAAATGCAGTTCTGCTCGCAAGGTATCTTCATTACGTTCGGGATCAAAATTTGTCATTCGGTATGTGGCCACTGGAACCTCTGTTGGGACTTTGGCTTGAAAACCATATGCTAGTGCGAATGGGGTTTCCCAAGTGGCTGTCCTTGGGGTCGTTCACTAAGTCCATAAAATGTAGTTTAGTTGATCGGGCCATGAGAAGGAGCAGTGTTCGATCTTCTTTTTTATCCCGTCCATGATGGTTCTATTCATGTTTTCCACTTGGCCATTTGCCTGGGGGTAGGCCACTGATGCTCTAGAGTGATGGATTCCCCACTTGGTGAGATACTGTACAAACCCCTTACTCACGAACTGTCTGCCATTATCGGTGATGATTTGTTCTGGGAGGCCGAATCGACAAATAATGTTCTGCCAGACAAACTTCTGACTTTGAAAGTCCGTGATGCTAGCCAGAGGTTCGGCCTCCACCCATTTGGTGAAATAATCAATCCCCACGATGATATACTTTTTCCTTCCAGGTGATGTAGGTAGGGGCCCTAGAAAGTAGATTCCCCACCTAGCGAATGGCAGTGCCGTAGTCATTGGTGAATAGAAACTTGCCAATCGACTCGGAACGGGGGCATACTGTTGGCATACTTTACATTTCTTGGTGTGGGCGGAGCAATCTTGCTGAATGGTCGGCCAGTAGTATCCTTGATGATCTTTCTGGCCAGTGTCTTTGGTTCTTGATGGCTTGAACAAATTCCTTCATGTATTTCCTCCATCACGGCTGCAGCAAGACCGGGCGGGAGGAACTTTAGGTATGGCCCCCCGAACGTCTTTTTGTATAATTGCCCATCCATCAGCTCGAAATCGTGGCCCTCCTCTGGATGCATTTTGCGTTGTATGCCGCGTTTTTGTCTTCTGGAAGAACCCCGTCCTTCAGGTAGTTGATCATGTTTGTGACCCAACTAGGAACGACATATGAGATAGCCTCCACCTGAAGGACCATGGTTGCTGGCGTTGTCTGAGTTTCTCGGCGGGAAAATCGTTGGATATGGGCTGGAATCATCTATGCCCGATCATCAAGAGCAACATTTTCCAGTTTTGATAGAATATCTGCTTCGGCGTTTTCTATCCTGGACACCTGGTCAAGCACCATCTGTTCGAATCTATTGGTTTGCTCCTCGACCAGCTCTTTAAATGCCTTCATCCTTTCCTCCTTGGTTTCAGCAGTTCTGTTTACCTAACCAATTACCAGCTAGCTATCCGAACGAACTTTTAGCCTATCGACACCCAGAGCCTTGGCATACTTTAAACCTGCAATAAGAGCGTCATATTTGGCCTCATTATTAGTTACCTTAAAGTCAAAGTGGATTCAGTAGTATGCCTTGAACCTTTCTGGAGATGTGATGACTGCTCCTCCCCCACAACCTTTGGCGCTAAATGCTCCATCGACGTACATTTCCCACCAGTTATCCGTGGAGGCCCCGTTCGAGCTATCTGTCATTGGTCTAGCAGTGCATTCCGCAATAAAATCTGTCAAGGCCTGACCTTTAATGGTAGGTCGTGGTCTGAAGTCTACTTCATACTGCCCGATCAGGTATGACCACTTGGTAATGCGTCTGCTGGCCATTGGGTTCCTCGACATGGTGGCGAGCGACTGAGTAGTAAAAACCGTTATCGGATGGGCCTGGAAATATGGAGTCAGATGCTTGATAGTGGCTATCAAGGCCAGAATGGTTTTCTTCATCAAGGTGTACCATGTCTCGGGACCGTTCAAGGCCTTGCTGACAAAATAGATCGGCCGCTGAACCCCATCAATCTCCTTCAATAGTATCGAACTGATAGCAAGATCGGCCACTGCAAGATACATATACAGATGCTCCCCTGGGTCAGCTTTGGTCAGGACTAGGGGGAGGATAAGTAGGTTTTGAACTCTTCAAAGGCCGTTTGACATTCGGCTGTCCATTCGAACGGGTTGGCCTTCTTCATGATCTGAAAAAATGGGATTGCCCGATCGGCTAACTTGGAAAGGAATCTGCTTAATGCGGCTAACCGACCGGTTAATCTCTGAACCTTCTTCAGGTTCCTGGGTGCTTCCATGCCCATGATTGCCTTGATTTTTTCAGGATTAGGTTCAATTCCCCGTTCACTCATCATGTATCCCAGGAATTTGCCCCCTTTGACTGCAAAGACACACTTCTTGGGATCCAACCTCATGTTCACCTTCTTCATGATCGCGAAGACCTTTTCCATGTATCGAACATGATCCTCTTTCTTCTTGCTTTTGATCAGGATGTCATCCACATAAGCCTCCATGGTGATTCCCAAGACCTCTTTAAATAACATCCCGATCATTCTTTGGAACGTGACCATGGCATTCTTCAACCCGAACAACATCATAATGTAGAAAAATACCCCGTCCGAGGTGACGAATGCTGTTTTTTCTGCATCAGTCGAGTGCATAAAGATCTGGCGATACCCCCGAAAGGCATTCATAAAACTCATCAGTTCGCACCCAGCAGTTTCATCCACTAGTAGATCGATCTGAGGCACCGGATAAGGATTCATAGGACATGCCTTATTCAGATCGGAATAGTCAACGCACATTTTCCAAGTTGGCCCCTTCGGACAGAGGACCTGGAGGTCTTTTGTCCAAATAAGGATTCAGAGGGCCTGGAGGTCTTTTGTCCAAATAAAAGCTAACAGAGGGCCTGGAGGTCTTCTGTCCTGTCGACTATTCTAAGAATGCTTACACTTGGAAAAATTCTAATACAATTTTCTAAAGAGGGGTACTCTAATATCCTAATTAATATAGCATCATCAAAATCTAAATACAATTATTCCTTACAATTTCCCCCTTTTTGATGATGCCAAAACCCTTAAACTACTTCCAGAGAAGTGTCTTTCACCATAAAAGAATTAAGTTAAATACTTTCATTAAAAATCGTGGTGGGCAACTTAGCATAGGGAAGCAGTAAGAGTAAATAAACAAGTAAAATACAAAGTAACAGAGAAAAACAATAAACAGAAGGTAAGCATAGAAAGCAATAAGAGACAGAATATGGAAAGTGCCATTCAAATTAGAGGCAGAGAGGTTATCTTATTTAGCAGAGAAAATAAAGATACAAGAGAGAAAGATTAAGAGTTTTCCTCTTCTACCTGTTCTCCTGCTTCATCGATTCTCTTGAGTTCTGTATTAACTCTAGCTCTGATGGAGGCTAAGTTCCTCGGTTTCTAATATTCTGGCCAGTGAGGTTCAAGATTGCAATCCAGATAGTTTCGCACGGCTTCTGATATATTCTTGCATGGGATAACTTTCATTTTTCACCATGCTTCAGCTTCTTGAATGGATCCTCCATGATTGATCTGGACAAGTCCATCAATATCCATGAAAAGGTTCTCTTGTTGTAGAGGAGTCATGAGCTTTTTCATCTGTTTGAACTGGGCTCTGTCAGGCCTTGACATCCCACTTTTCATCCAATCATTAAAAGAGAAGTTGGACGTTTTCTTCTTGGTTCCTTTTGGTGGTGGAGGAGGCCTGTGGATTCCAGCAGCAAGTCTCTTCTGCCTGGCGTTTTCAAAACTAGATTCTCACCCGTGCGATGCACGGGACATGAATAAAGTAATAGATGTATGTCCTTATTTGTTAATAAGGATTAAATTATTAATTCATGTATAAAAGCATGGAAATAGTAAATACGTAATATACATAATAAATTGTAATTAAATAAAGGATAGGTAGGACTCATGCAATGGTAGTGAGCATGTTTTAGAATAAACACAAATAAACAAATGTTACCGTAAAGTTTCTACAATCTACACATTTCGAAACACTTCCTTGTAAACAACATTGATTTTAAACAACATTGAAAGTATGATCAATATTTTTAGCAATACGAATATACTAAAACACTAATATCATACTCTCTTCGTCCCTCTATAATTGTCTCATTTTTGCTTTTTCGTCCGTCCCACTAATTTTGTCTCATACCATATAGGGTAACATTGTGTAGCTGTAATTTATTCTTACTTTATCCCCACTTTATCACTTTATTATCAACCACATAATTTTACTTTTTTTAGAAACCATATCACTCCCTTCCGTCCCAATATTAGCGGGATAGAGGTAGTAATATATTACGTAGTATAACACACTAATGATCCACACCCTTAATCTCACTAATGTAATAATATAATTATAATATAATAATATATAATAATAACATAATATCATAGTATATTATAGCATAGTATATGATAACATAGTATATGATAACATAATAACATAATACAAATTCGTAACTATATAAGAATATTAAAATAACAATAATTACTATTATTACATAATAATACAATTTTCTAATCAAAACAATAAGAGATTACAAAAAATTATAAAATCTCATAAAATAGTTCCGCCTGGTTTTCCCACAGACGACACCAATGTTGTGGTTTAGTCCCGAATGACCCGAAAGCTCAACACTAACCTTGGATCTTAGGTTAAACTGTTATAGTAACGTGTATAAAAGTGAATATAAAATCTGACTTAACTATTTAAACAACTCAGCTTGTATTAACACAGTAATAACAATTACACAAAAATGACCGAGCGGTAATTATGGTTCAAAGGCTAATACGAGAGCTAGAATGCAATATAAGTTTGAGTTAATAAAATCCAACCCTTACAATGATTTAAAAACTGCTATTTATACTAAATGGAGACATGGAGTGCCCTAATACGATTGGTTGCTTTCCATGCCACTTGAGACCCCCATGATCTAGCATTAACTGCAGTCGGTCACATCCCGTTCGGGTGGTGCCGAACGGGCCTTGCCCTTAAGCAAATCGTTCGAGCCCAATGATCTCTTCTGGACTATCCTTTGTATTTTGGGCCTTGAGAATGTGCCGAACTCCCGTTCAAGATCTATGACCTCTGGGCTTTCCCTAGTGCCTGGGCTTTTAGGGATATTTTGGGCCGCCATATTGGGCCAGACCTCAATATCCTATCACTAATAATGATATTGATAATAATCACAACCATGACAAGCAATAAAAAGATACTCCGTATGATAATGGCAAATAGGGACACAAGTACAAACTTGGGAGGAAAGTCTCTACTTTCTACCAATGGCATCGAACACCACCTTCACTGGGCCAAAACAAAGATTGCCGGAAAATCAAACACAAGCTCACTCAAGGTACTCTCTTGAAGAGAAGACAGCCTTCTATTACCAGCTAGGCAGCAAATTGTTACAAGTTAACAAAATGTTCTTCAAAACCAAACCTTGACCAATTCAAGGAATCAAGGGAGCCAGGACATGCTTTGCTTACGGTTCCACTCAATGGAACAGAGTTCTTAGCACATAGCACCACTTCTAGGCTAGTAGGCTCCATCTCCAAAGCAGGTCACACTAATTGGTGGCCAGTGATCTTTTTCAAAGCCGAAAGTAGGGAACTCCTCTTCTACCTGAATTTTGCTCCTCTCCGGTAACTGGACTTTTAAGGTAGGAGAGATACAAAGAGAATAAGGGAAATGGTGGGGTAAGGAAAAATAAACGATGGGATTTATTTATTATTTTTAAAGAGAGAGATAGAGTGAAATGGAGAGAAGGAAATGGAGAGGAGTATGACTCAAGACCTTGATATCACCCGTTATAAGCAACCATGTTGAGTTTATGTTTAAAAGCAATTGTTTATTCTTTATCCAACTTTTGTGCCATATTCACATCTTTTCTGACCCGCTTCATTCCTTCCGTTTTCTATTGTTTCAGTAAAATTCCAACTCTCCCTGAAAATACACCTCTATTGTTCCACTGTCCCTTTCCACGCATGCCCTTCCCATGGAAATTATGATCTCATCCTATAGAGTAATCCAAGAACAGCACATAAAATATGTCTAGGAAAGAAAGAAAATTCTTGCACTTGGCACTCCTGAAGCTGCACATATGAAAATATGGTACTCTGAATTGCATATGAGAGAAATATAATGATGATAATTGCTATGATGCACAATGAAATGCTAGTATTTGTACCACGCCAGTGAGCCAGTCTATTATCCAAATTAGGCCAAAAGAGAGAACATAGTCAATGGGGGACAAGAAAAACTGTCAAGAAACGGGTATAGCTTTGAAGCTCTACAGAGCTTCAAGAGGACAGCAGCCCATCACTGTCCACCTAAAAAATGCAACACGCTCAACAAAGGCCTGTGGGTTTTCTCGTTCATGAAACTATCCCTCTTTTTAAATTCTTCAAGAAGTTCAAATGCATCATCCCCTTTCCCATCCCTACACATCTCTTCCAACACAGTTTTATAAGTCAGTAAATCGGGAGACATCGAATTATTCAGCATATCAAAGGCCACATCAATAGCATCCTCAAACCTCTTCTCCAATGCTAAACTACATATTAGAATCATATAAGTACTCCCCGTAGGAATGAAATCTTTATCCCTCATGTCCTTATAGAACCTGAGTCCTACATCCACTTTCCCCTTCTCACAAAATGCTTTGGCTAAATAACTGTATGTGTATAAATTCGGTTCACATCCATACAATCCCATTTCACGAAATACCCGAATTGCCTCATCAACCTCGAGACATTTTGAATAAGCCTTTATAATCATATTCATAACATAAGTATCAGGAATCACACCACAGGCCTTCATTTGAGTAGCTAATGATCTCACAGAATGTAAATACACATAGGAAACCGTTAACCTATTAAATTTAGGGAGAAGCGTATTCAGTAATAGCGTGTAAGTTTCCAGAGAAGGCTTAGCATCTTCACATTTCAACATTTTCTTGTAGATATCAAATGCTTGATTGAACAAGGATTTACGGCCGCAGCAGAATTTAATCATGCAATTGTACAAAGGGAGGCTGGGCGCGCAAGCCCCCGCAATGACCTCCTCCATTAGGGTTTCTGCAACCCCATAACGCTTGCCATGGATGGTGATTTGGATGATGCGGAGATAAGTCAAGTGGTTATGCTTGTAGGTTCGCTGCTGGCCTGTCCAGCGGAAAATGTCGAGCGCCAGGTCCGGGTCGGATTGGGCCTGCAAGGCTAGATCGACGTCCGACGGAGTAAACCCAGGACGGAGTTGGTTTATCCATGAATCGAATTGCTTTTCTGACGGGGTTAGAGTCCGAGGGTTAGGGTTTTGCAGGTCTTTAGAGGGTTCTGAGAGGGTCGGCGCTGTAGTGTGGTGATGAGAAGTTGAAGGTGCGGAAATCGTTCTAAGAAGGAGATGAAAGGTGAGGGATGGCCGAAATCTAGAGATCAACGAATGGCTCGCAACTGCTCGCATTTCTCCAGGAAGCAGGTATTGGGTTTAAAGTTGTCTTTTTCTCAGGAAGATGGAATAGTCTCGACCGGTTCTTTATTTCTCTTCTCGGTCTCCCCTTTCAGTTTTTCCTATCAAAATAAAACATTTGGGGTGTGTTTACTAAACGTGATATTTTCCAGTTTTCCATTTCTGATTTTTGTTCTCTAATTTTCTGTTTTCATTTTTCACTTTTTCTATCTCCAATTTTTTGTTTTTATTTTTTAGTTTTCCATTTTCAAATATGAAAACATGTTCATACAATTTTTTCGCCCAGTTCTCTGACCGACCAAAAGACTGAAAGTACGATCCAAGTCCGGAACCGAACCTAGTACAAACAAGTAGGCACTGGGTCCCACATATAGGAAAGTCGGGACCGAAATCGGCTGGTCCCGGTCGATCTCAGCAATTAGTTTGATGAATTCTTTTCTCATTTCCTTATTGATTGACAATTCAGTGGCTCTTTTAAAACTCTTCACTTTAAAAAATGATTTCGAAAAATCGAGACTGAACCGCCGGGTCATTTACGAGACTGGTCCGGGACCGCCCGGTTGTCGATCGGACTAAACACAGACCGTTGGGTCATTTGCCAGATAGGATGAGGATTGCCGAGTCATTTACCGGACCAGATGGGGATCGCCGAGTCGTTGACTAGATAGAATCTGACCGGGACTGCCCGACAGTCGATCAGACCGAACAAGTACGTCTGGTCATGGATCAGACATGACAGGGACCGTCGGGTCGTAGACCGGAATGGACAGGGACCGTCAGGTCATGGACCGGACTCGATAGGGACCGCCGGTTCGTCGACCGGACCAGGCCATCGGGTTGTCGACCGGATCGGGAACGTCGGGTCATCGATCGGATTGGACCGGGTTTGTCGGCTGTCGACCGGACCTGACATGATTCGCCGGATCAACGACGGGACCGGACCATTGGGTTGTTGGCCGGACTAGATAGGGATCGTCGGATAGTCGATCGGACCGGGACCGTCGGGTCATCGACCAAACCGGGACCGTCGGGACCAATCGGACTGGACCGGGTTTGTTCGGCACTCGACCGGACCAGACATGAACCAAGGGGTCAATGGCTGGACTGGATCGTCGGGGTGTTGACCGGACCAGATAGGGATCGTCAGGTCGTTGACCGGATCGTATCGGAACAAACACTGGAGCTGGATCGGATCCAACATTAGGCGTAAGTATGCAAATTCATTGTAGCAGCACTGTATCATCCTCGTTTTCCAAATTTGGAAAACTAGTAAAAGTCACTTCTCCAATTCTTTAAGGAAAACAGAGACATATCTCACTTTTCTAGAATTTTTTTGGTAAACGCGTTTTCTGTTTTCTGTTTTCCAGTTTTCCAGTTTTCTGAAAAACTGGAAACTATCTTTGTTAGTAAATGGGCTCGTAGTATATGTGTATACTTATTTTTTTTATTATTATAAGGGAAAAATAATTAAAATACCCAAAACTTTTAATGGGTATGAGATAAGTACCCTAAAATTTTATATGTTATTTAAATATTCCAAATTTTATAAAAAAAATTGTTTTAACACCATGATTATGTGTTATTTCTTTCAAAAATGTATATTTATGGTGTTAATTGCGTAATTTAAAATTGAAATTTAAAAAACTACAATTATATAGAGCGAGGGTATTATTTATTTTACAATGCAAGTTTAGAATATTAATTGTATGTTTATAAATGCTAAAATAATTGCCATGGTACAAAAATAACTTCTAATATAAAATTTGGAGTATTTAAATTGCATAAGAAAGTTTGTGGTGTTTACCTCACACCTCTTCAAAATTTGGGGTATTTTAAATATTTTCCCTTATTATTGTTGTTGTTGTTTACTTTTTTACTTCTTACAAATCATTGTTTTCCAATTTTTTCTTTACTTTTCTCTTCTAAATATAATATTTTTCCTGCTTTTTCATTTACCATATACTCTATATTGCCCCTACTACTTATGGTGGTGATACAAATCATTACACGTGAGCATGATTTTCCCCTTTCTGAATTTGAAGTTCATCTCTTTTTGTCTAGTGGAGAAAACAGAGTTTTATCCGCAGGAACCTTGAATATATCTCGATCAAAAAGGCTGTTTCGGGGATTTTCTAGGATATGTAATTTTTTTTCCTAAAAATAATTAGAGTGTGGACATGTATCTATTTACTTTATCGTCGGTCAAACATCGTAAACTGTAAAGAGACAATATAAATGGGACGGAGGTACTATTTATATCTATCGTGACAGAAATGTTTTCTATGTGGATGGGAAAGAACTCTTCTATACGGATATGCAATTTTCCTAAGTGGAACCATAAATCATCTATATGAGTTAGTTGAGTGTGAATAGAAAGAATTGGATTTATGATGTTTTTTGGATTGAAATGTGTTAATCTGGTTTGGTCTTGTCTGTGTAAGTCTGGTCTGATCCGATCTGGCGTATGAGACGTATGCATTAATAACCCAAGTTTACTACCGTGAAGGGACCGAACGATTAACAAGCGTATTCGTCGATCGATTCTAGTAATAATTAAAAGATGAAACAAAACTAGTTGATCTTTTAAGTAATGTTCAAAATATTATTATGAAATATGAATATGAATTAATCAATATTCAAGGAAGAATATTATCAAAGAAGATGAATCCTACTATAATTAATGTCAAGATGTTAATTAATTGTCATCTTAGCAACACTCCCCAACATTAATATAGAGGAATAAAATACTACTATAATTAATGTCAAGATGTTAACTAATTGTAATCTTAGCAACACTCCCCAACATTAATATAGAGATAGTATTAAGGAAAGAACTTGATGGGGTTATGGGACTAGGCCCAGAGCCTAATCGGCCCAGGCCCCGAACTTGGACCAGCGGGCCCAAGCCCAGCAACCCAGAGCTCGAGTCAGCCCAACCAACCAGGGCAATCAAGGAGCGGAAGCCCAACTGGGAGCCTGCGGTCCAGCCTACCCGGGAGCCTGCCTTCCAGCCCAGTGGGGAGCCCGCCTTCCAGCCTAGCCAGGAGCCTGCCGACCACCAGCCCAGCTGGGAGCCTGCGGTCCAGCCCAACTGGGAGCCTGCGGTCCAGCCTACCCGGGAGCCTGCCTTCCAGCCCAGTGGGGAGCCTACCTTCCAGCCTAGTCAGGAGTCTGCCGACCACCAGCCCAGCTGGGAGCCTGCGGTCCAGCCCAACTGGAAGCCTGCGATCCAGCCTACCCGGGAGCCTGCCTTCCAGCCTACCCGGGAGCCTGCCTCCAGCCCGGTCAGAAGCCTTCCTCCAGCCTAGCGGGAAGCCCACCATCCAGTCCAGCAGGAGGGAGCTCAAGCGTCCAGCCTGCCAGCCAGGCTGACCTGCCAGCCAAGAAGAGTAACGGCCAACAATTAATGCGCGACTTAATTATGTGTTTAATTCTGTATTAATGTTGTAATTAATTTAGTCATTATTATGTTCGGCAGTTACCATTTGTAATCGCCTATAAAAGGCAATTCGAATTTCAAATACAGATATGCTATTTCTGGCTAACTTTCCATATTCGTACTTTCCTAATTCCTGCTTGAGTGTCGTACGTAGCTTTCCTAAAAGCCTACGAGCGTCCTATTTTGGACCAACATTGGTGCTTTCATTGAGAGCCTCTATTGTCTCTCACATAACTTGAGTAGGAATCACACAGGAAGATGGCTGGAATCTCGTCTCGACGTGACCATGTCTCAGTCCACACCGAGGAGTCCGCCCGGTCTGGCCGCCAGCGTGCCCTCGACAACCATGCACAAGGCAGGAGGGCGGCGCGCCAAGGCGACCTTCGGAACCAATTATCAGGCCACGGCGACCTAAGGGCGACGCTCAACCACACTCAAGGTGAGCGCTCGGTCCGCAGCCGGCGGGGGGGAGGCCGACGTCATGCTCCGCGCATGGACCCGGCTCGACTCAATGCCGGGGTGGAAGCCCTGCAGGAGGCAACTCGGGTTCTGGGGACCTTGGCTCAAAATTTCCAACAGATGGTGTCTGGCGGAAATGTGGATGAGCCTGCCCGTCAATAGACGCCAGCGGATGTGGAGGTGTCCTCCAGGCGGCGTGATGAGCGACGCTCTGGATCCAACCAAAACAGGGGGAAGAAGTCTCCCATCGGCGGGGGGAAGAAGTCTCTCAGCAGCCTAGCCGACCCCATCGGCAGACGAGGAGGGGCGCCCAGCAGGGGCGCCCAACGCAGATGGAAGGAGGCGAGCCCTCTCGCCACTCTCACCGGGCGAGCAGTCGGACTGGCTCCACGGAGAGGCAAAACGTGGGGCCCCGACCTCACGTGCACGGACGACTTGGAGGTGCCGCCGGACATGCTCAGCCCCGCGCTGGAGCTGTCCGGGGGAACCCACCGCCGGCCGAGGTGGAAGATCTACGACAGCGCCTTGACGAGTTGAGAAGGAGGGTCGTCGGGGAGGAGCCCTACACGGCCGACCTCCGGATACCCAAACCCTTCACCCGGGCGGTCATGGATGCGCCGTTGCCGAGGGGCTACAAGCCATGCGCCATTGAAGCATACAAGGGCGCATCTGACCCCCAGCATCATGTATCTCGGTACCTTTCCTACATGGTCATGATGGGGTACGAGGACGCAATCCGATGCCGCGGTTTCTCCGCCACTTTGGATGGCCCGGCTCGTGAATGGTATGACTCTCTACCCGACGGGAGTATCACAAATTTCCGTGAGTTGGCTCAGCGCTTTCTCTTGAGGTTCGCGAGCTCCCGAGACGTCAAGAAAAACTTCAGCCACCTGTTCGGCCTAAAACAGGGGAAGAAAGAATCATTGTCGACCTTCCTAGCGAGGTGGAGGGCCGAGTCAGTCAAGGTTCAGGGCCTTGATGACAGGACCGGGGTGGCCATGCTCACAAACTCTATCCGATCGGGTGAGCTTTACAAAGATTTCGTCAGAAGTCCCCCTACCTCGTACGAGGAGGCGCTCGGCCGTGCCGACCGGCAAGCCGAGGCGGAGGACGCCTTGCAGAGGAAAAGAGATGAGGAAGAAGGTGCGAAAGAAGAAAAGAAG